CCTAACATATAGGAGAGACTATAATAGAAGAGAGGGAGGGAGAGATATACATAGAGAAAGGAAAGAAGGAAAGGAAGAGAATGAGGGGGAGGAGGGAAAAGGAGGGAAGAAAAATAGAAAGAAGAAAGGGAAGAAAGAAAAGAAACAAGTAAAGAAATGAGAAAATGGAGAGAAAAATACATATGTACATGGTGATAGGAAATGTTTCCTGTTTTTCTATCACTTTTCCTTCGAATTGTGTGCCACTGCTTAGGTACAGTTTTCATAGATTAGTAAAGTGTACGAATCAAGTTAGCAAATTACCATATAGCGCTTTATTTTGGCGATTTTGCTGTAAAATTGTAATTGGCAGTTTTTAATTTGGCGATTTTTGTCTACATGTGCATTACTGAGCATGCGCATTGATGATTGGTGGTTTTAATATTGGCGATTCGGCTTGAAAACCACCAATTGCCAAAATAAAACTCCGCCAAATTAAAGCGCTATAGGGTAATAAGTTAACTACAATGAAGCAGCTAAAAGCAAAAAAAAAACAAAAAACATGCAGTACATGTACATGTATCATTAACTGAAAATGACTATAAATACACATGTACATGTACATGTATCAATTAATGCACAATGATATGAAGACAAATTGAGGTAATACTGTCCATGCAGTATAGCTAATAGGAGGAGCACATGAAATAAAAGCTGAGATCCCTCCCTCCCTCTCTCTTACTTCTCATTATTTCAAGTATTCTCATTCAATCTATTCTCTCATCAACATTATTCTGATACACATGTACATGTACATACATGTACATGTATAATGGTACAGTATATGTACATGGATCCATTTCTGTTAGTGTATGAATCTGTTTCAATTCCATATTAGGACTTACATGTACATGTATCCTTTTCACAGACCATGAGAGATATACATGTACATATGGTAGAGAGTGGATACAATATTCACCTTGCAAATATTCTAGATAGTTTATCCAGTATGATCACATTATTAGGTAGACATGTTAACTCATTGTACTGGACCTATAATAACAATAACACACAACATGTAAACATAATTATGAGTCTTTATACAAAAATAAACAACAAACTAAACTATAAACAAATCTACAACATTCAAGGGAGTTGTCTCAAAGCATGCAGTATACCATGCTATTACAATTTAATTCATACATACATGTACACTAAACATGTATTATAATGATATTAAAAATCTTATATTTTCATTCTCACCTCAAGCGCTGACAATGAATTAAAGTTTTCAATATGTTCAGATATTTCTTTGATTTTGTTAGATGATAGATCCAGTCTAGTCAGTTCGACCTGGTCCCACCATCTCTCAAATGAAACAGTACTACCATCAGGAGGATCAATATTGAGTCTTCACAGTTTAGGAGGAATAACACTAATGCCCCTGTAATTATAGACACAAACCCACTAACTTTCATGCATCCAGTCCACATGTTCATTAATTTAATGTGTCATAAAAATGAAAATCAAAAAATCACTTTTGGTGAATTAAAAAACATGTTACAAGTCTCACACAGCCTCCTACCTGTTTGACAGGTTCAGTGAACCGGTTTTACGAGCTTCTTTCAATAAGGATTCTGGTACAGTCCCCTCCTTACCTACCCCATCACTTTGACTAGGAGAGTTGAAGAAGTTGGGATTTGGTTTGAGTCTAGTAGAACCAGCAGGAGATTTTTTACTGGCACCACGACTGGAACTCATTTTATGAATTTTGGATAAATGGGTGTGGTCTTATGTTGCATAGTTTGGGTGGGGCTGTTATTTTGCAAGAATGGCATCTAAAAGTGAGGGCCACTATTCTCTTCTCTTTGTATCTCTTTCATTCATTCTTTGTCTCTCTTACTCTCTCACTTACTTTACTCCTCTGTATCCTGTCCTTATTCTAACTCATCACTATATTACTGTTACTCTGTTACTGGTACCTCTTGTTCTCTATAGACTATCAACCAGTGGAGAGATGGGCACACTCCACAGTAAAGGTAGGAGACTACCTATATATGTGGGGTGGGGCCGCGTTTAGAGTACACTATGATGTGATGGAGGTGTATCACTTACCAACTGGTGCTTGGGACCAGAAACCTACTACTGGTACCCCACCACCAGGTACCTGGGGCTATTCATCAGTTGCTATTGGGAAGGACATATATTATTTTGGTGGAGATGATGGTGGTGGTTATCAAAACAGCTTACAATGTTTCAATGTGGATTCATTGAAGTGGAAAAAACTCTCTCCTTCTAGTTCTGATTATAGTCCAATGAAGAAGGCCTACTGTGGAATAATATCAGTTCATTTTGATGGTGAAGACTTTCTTATAATAATTGGAGGAATTGGATCATTTTATATCGATACTCCAAAGCAACCTGATGCTCAGCATTCAGCTACTGGTAGATGTAATGAGATACATTATTACAAGATTTCATCAGGTCAGTAATTCTCATCACTGATACACAATAGTTGATGAGTATTTTAAACTGAATAATTTATATTAATGTACATAAAACAGATTGTTAATAATTAAGTGTGTTTGTTAGTGTGTCATGTGTTTGTGTGTGATGGTGACGTGTGTCTATATGTCACGTGTGTGTGTGTACTAATACATACATTATGATGTGTCTGTGTATTATAGTGCATATAATGTATGTGAGAATTTATGAATGTATGACGTGTGTATGTGACGTGTATCTATAATGTGCATGTTATGTGTGTGTGAGTATTATCATGTATCTGTGTGTGTGTGATGTTTGTACATGTACATGTATCTATACATAAGCTAATGTGACATGAGTGTGTGTGTGTAGGTTCATGTTATTTCAGGGGCGTATCCAGAAATGGGGAAAGGGGGGTGCTTTTGCGGCGGTAAAACGGCATTTTTCTTTATTTTCGTAAATTACGGGTGGGGTCAAAATTATTTCAAGCATCTAGTACTTCTGACAACTTCTGATTGCTCCTTAAAGCTCTGGAAACTGCTGAAATAATGATCAGGGGGCTAGATAACTTCATTAAGAGGCTTGGTAGTGATGCAAAAGTCCAGGATTTGATCAATTTTTTTCTGAGCCCAGCCATGAGGGGGGGCTCAAGCCCCCCTCAGCCCCTGCCGGATACGCCCCTGTATTTATTATCATTTTTAATAAAGTTCTGTATCACATGAGTCACAAATTACCCACATACAATGTTCCATGAGTTTTGTTTAATTATTCATTAATAATCATAACTGACATGTACCAGAATAGATTAGTAATCTTCAAATAAGGAGACCCCCTGGACCTCTCCTTTATGTGTACAGGTGTGGTGTGTGTGATGGTGTGTGTATCCATACATGAGTGTATCTGTGTGTGTGTGTGTGTGGGTGTGTGTATCATGTGATAGTGATGTGTGTCTATGCATGATGTGTATGTATAAGTAATAATGTACACACATATACACATACATATGTATGATGAATGTGTATAATGTATGTGTGTGTATTTGGTAAGTAAGTGTACATGAATGTTTGTACATTATTACTAGGCGAATGTAGAACATTGAAGGGGCGAGCACAAGCTAGCATGGCAATATACAATGTTTAGATGTCACAAAGGCTAATGTTGTCAAATTGTAAATTGAATGATACACATGCAGAGCACTGAGCTCAGAACTTGTGACTTGCATGCAAGGAAATTTTATAGCTTGCTCTTCTCTCTTTATTAGCAGTGAAGAATCTCAGTTGTAACTTTAATAAGTATAATTTAATTTTTACTATGATATTTTCAAGCACAGTACTTTTAGACTCTCTTTTCTCTGAAGAGCCATTTGAAGTGCTTTTATATTCTGTCATTCAACCATAATTAATAAAAACTTGAAGATTTATGTGTGTTTTCTTGAATTTTCTCTGCTGATGAAGTGTCTTGACAAGAGATCTGTCCGTAAGATTGGCTAAGGTAGGTGCCATTTTAATTTCATTGCAACCACACCCACATCAATAAAAATATTTCATTAGAATGCTACCGCATTAGATCATTGATTTTAAAATAGATATTGTGCACACATGGGTGTGACCAGAATAGGCGTGACTGGAGACGTACGTACATACATACATACATACGGAGGGAGGGAGGGAGACTTCGCCTGAGTGGGGCGAGCTTATGCTCGCCCCAATTAGATCAATGGATATCTCCTGATGTTGCTGGAGACAGACCACCTCCTATTGATTCCTTCACTCTAACACCAGTTACTAATAACACTGCGGTAATGTTCAGAGGCTATACTGATAATGGAGTCAGTAATAAACTGTATATGATAAGTTTCACTAAGACATCAGTGGTGAGTTAATACTGTAGGATGGGTTTTGATTGTGAAATTCTTTTGTTTGTAAATTGTGGGTTTCCAGTTAAATTGCAATTGAAAGAATTATTTTTCGTCAAAGAATTATTTTTTATCAATATTAATGAATGATTTATTTTATTACATTGATTTTATTTTTCTCTCAGGATATATTAGAAGTACCTAATCCTGGAGGATCAGTACAATGGCCTAAGGAAAGATATGATCATTCCAGTGTACTGATTACCACTAGTTCAGGACCACACTTACTAGTGGTGGGTGGATTACCTACCTATGATGTATGGTTATTGGACATTAACAAAAGAAAATGGAAAGAACTGGTAAGTATTATATTATATGATGCTTGATAATGAAACATAAAGTGATTAACTAAATTTGTAACTCATGAGGTTTGTAATATACATGTACATA